GCGTCTGCAGTACCGACAGTCCGTGGAGCACTGTCACAAATATAAATCTGGGTCCTTAATCTCCTCAAGTCTCGTAACAGAGGGGAAGTGCAAATCGTAACTTATCCCTGACTGAAGGGCCACTGCCTCTCCACAGACTGACCAACACAGAGTCATTTCTGCATAATCAAGATGGCCTGGTTAGTTGGAACAGAATGCAATTAATGATGTACATGTACTCAGAGACACAAACTGCATTACTGTAGTTGTTTTCCCCATCATTTAGGATATTTCCCAGAATATACATTTTAAAATAAAGCTTCAGACAAAACAAGTTCTAAAAAATAATAGGAAAAGACATTTTGTTACAATACATAAAATCTATTGTGAGATTCTGTCACAGCATGAAACTATGCTTTGAAAAAAAACAGATTACAACATAAATTATATCAAAACAAAGGATGAGGCTTAATATGCAGTCCTAAATCCAAATCCAGAAGTACTCAGTGAAAGAAATAAATTCATAGGATGACAAATTTTAACAAAGACAGGATATTTTTCAGTGTTTTTCTTCATTTTGTACAGATGCACATGAAAACACTCTACACCCCTTCCTAGACACTTCTTACCTTTCTGCTTTTTCTGTTTGAACTTATGTTTTCCTTTCTCTAGATTTTTTTTTCTTCATCCTTCTTAAGGTGGGAAAGAATTTCAACAGGTATAAACTTCAGTGGAGCTATGTAGATTTATGCTAGTTAAGGGTCTGATCTAGACAGTATTGCACTTATAATGAAAATACTGTAAAATTTACCCAACTCATGCTTTGGTAATGGGAAATTAAACTATTGTAGTTCCCATCAAACTTCTTGGAAGTTGAAAGCCCCTAGTCAGCCACATTGAAGCTAAAAATTACTGTACAAGAATTCCTCAGGGAGAAAAGAGGGGGAGAGAACAGAAAAAAAGAAGCACCAGTATAATCCAGTCTCTGCCTTTTTACCAGCTGGTTCAGTTTTGCAAATGTAATAGTTTTGTACTGTGCTAGCAAGCTAGATGTTACTGAAAAAATCTCAAGCCCCTACATAACACAGCATATAGCTATTCTTATTCTTTGCTGCTAAGTACAGAAACAAATGCTTCTGGATTGTTACTGGATGATTTGTAGCAACTTCTATAGTAAAGGTTGCAAATAATGATAAAGCTCTTCCCATACCCCATGCAGAAAATTTTCAAACATTCACCTTTAAAAGATTCAGCTTTCCATTTTGTTTTATGACAATTTTACAGATTTTCCTGGAAGAAAGGAAAGGAAGAAAGTTCTAATCACACATCCCTGAACAAAACTAGAGCAAAAATGGCTTCATTTGAAATTTGGCACATACAAAGTTATTTTTTGTGGTCTAATTCTATTTGCTGTGGATGGATAAGAATGAAAAAGACAATTTTAAGTACTGGGAGGAAAAAAAAAAGCTGTAACTCAGTGTGCCTCCTTTGGTGTCTTATGGAATGAAAATATGCTTAATTCAATTGTTCTATAGAATTAAGGAATTAACTAATTAACTGAAGAATTAAAAATAAATTTGATGGGATTTAACTAAATATCCTGAGACTTCCTCATTAATGACCAGAACAGTCAAATTTTTTGAATCATAAGACATGAGAATTCACTTGCTGAGTCACCCAAAAAGGGCA